ACGTAACAATACAGTGTATATGTAACAATACAGTGTATATGTAAGAAATGTATATAACAGTGTATATGTAACAATACAGTGTATATGTAAGAAATGTATATAACAGTGTATATGTAACAATACAGTGTATATGTAAGAAGTTTATATAATAGTGTATATGTAACAATACAGTGTATATGGAACAAGTGGATGTAACAATACAGTGTATATGTAACAATCCAGTGTATACGGAACAAGTGTATACGTAACAATACAGTGTATACGTAACAATACAGTGTATACGTAACAATACAGTGTATATGTAACAAGAGTATATAACAGTGTATATGTAACAATACAGTGTATATGGAACAAGTGGATGTAACAATACAGTGTATATGTAACAAGTGTATACGTAACAATACAGTGTATATGTAACAATACAGTGTATATGTAACAAGTGTATACGTAACAATACAGTGTATATGTAACAAGAGTATATAACAGTGTATATGTAACAATACAGTGTATATGTAAGAAGTTTATATAACAGTGTATATGTAACAATCCAGTGTATACGGAACAATACAGTGTATCTGTAACAAGTGTATATAACAATACAGTGTATATGTAACAATCCAGTGTATATGTATGAAGTGTATATGACAATACAGTCTATATGTAAGAAGTTTATATAACAGTGTATATGTAACAATCCAGTGTATACGGAACAAGTGTATACGTAACAATACAGTGTATATGTAACAATACAGTGTATATGTAACAATACAGTGTATATGTAACAAGTGTATACGTAACAATACAGTGTATATGTAACAAGAGTATATAACAGTGTATATGTAACAATACAGTGTATATGTAAGAAGTGTATATAATACTACAGTTACTGAAAGACCAGTTCAGAGTTAGTACGCAGTACGGGAACATGAGACAGAGTCGAAGCGTTTGGATACGGGAATAGAAAATGTGTCCACTAAAGATGACCACTGAACTAAAGATAGACGCCTAAAAGCCTGAGATCAACTGTTTCATTTCAAAGTCAGGAAAGGACCTGTTCTGGAAACTACACAGTGGACCTCTGCATATTTCCGACATGAGAAAAATATAAAAATAAAAATATCATTTTTAGTGAAACAGAACAGCCCTTGCAAAGCCGACGAGTCATCTTCAGCTCTTTTGCTGCACCTAGGAGGGTTTTTCTTTGGAGAAATGAACTCTTTAACCCGTATGTCCTGCTCCAGCTGTTTAAACGTCTGCTTCTTTTGGCCAGAGGCAGAGTTTACTGGCAAAATTCCTCCAGACAGGCAGCTCTGCGTATTCTGTATCAGTGTGATACATCTTATCTCTAAAAGTAGAGAAGACAGCAAACAACAAAACCTGTCAACATGAGCAGATCTGTAAATGTAGCTGTTTGTTTTCAGTTTGACTTGAGTCTGTGTGCAGGTTTGCTTAGCTGACTAGCTCAGCCAAGTCAAGTGTAGTTCACCCTCCACACTGATTGAAGTAAAGCTCTGTTCTAGGGCTGAACGATGCATCGCTTTTTATCGCAAAAACACTTAGGATACCACAGCAACAGCCTAGAAACACCTTAGCAACCACCTAAGAAAAGATAGCAACAGCCTAGAAACACCTTAGCAACCACCTGGGATACCACAGCAGCAGCCTAGAAACACCTTAGCAACCACCTGGGACAAGATAGCAACGGCCTAGGAACATCTTCGCAGCCACCTGGGACACCACAACAACAGCCTAGGAACACATTAGCAACCACCTGGGACTCCACAGCAACGGCCAAGGAACACCTTAGCAACCACTTGGGACACGATAGCAAGGGCCTAGGAACATCTTAGCAACCACTTGGGACACGATAGCAAGGGCCTAGGAACATCTTAGCAACCACTTGGGATTCCATAGCAACAGCCTAGAAAAACCTTAGCAACCACCTGGGACACGATAGCATAGGGTACGCTCACAACTTCAAAAGGGCGTGACGCAACTAAAAACAAGCAACTGGGATACCACACCAATGGCCTAGGAACACCTTAGCAACCACCTGGGACACGGCAACAATGGCCAAGGAACACTTGAGCAACCACCTAGGATACCAAAGCAATGGCCTAGGAACATCTTAGCAACCACCTGGGACATGATAGCATAGGGCCTAGAAACACCTTAGCAACCACTTGGGACACGATAGCAAGGGCCAAGGAACACTTAAGCAACCACCTGGGACACGTTAGCATAGGGTACGCTCACAACTTCAAAAGGGCGTGACGCAACTAAAAACAAGCACCTGGAATACCCCAGCAATGGCCTAGGAACACCTTAGCAACCACCTGGGACACGGCAACAATGGCCAAGGAACACTTGAGCAACCACCTAGGATACCAAAGCAATGGCCTAGGAACATCTTAGCAACCACCTGGGACATGATAGCATAGGGTACGCTCACAACTTCAAACGGGTGTGAGGAAGCTAAAAAATAAGCACCTAGAAACACCTTAGCAACCACTTGGGACACGATAGCAAGGGCCAAGGAACACTTTAGCAACCACCTGGGACACGTTAGCATACGGTACGCTCACAACTTCAAAAGGGCGTGACGCAACTAAAAACAAGTACCTGGGATACCACAGCAATGGCCTAGGAACACTTGAGCAACCACCTAGGACACCAAAGCAATGGCAACCTTAGCAACCACCCGGGACACGATAGCATAGGGTACGCTCACAACTTCAAACGGGTGTGAGGCAGCTAAAAACAGACGGGCTCAAGAAAGAGTCATTCGAGCCACATCTAAAAAGTTCCATCACAAACGTGGGATTATTTTCATTTAATGTTTCGTATATAGTTGCACAGAATCCGATCAAATCGGATTAACTCTGATCATCACTTTGTAATGACATACACAGTAGGTTAGTACTGACGATATCCACGAGTCGGAAAAGCGAATTGTGACATAATTCATCATGATAACGATGAATATTCCCGTATCGCCCAGCCCCAGGCTGAACGTTAAACTGCCCTCAGGACAAGCGCTGAATGTGTGTCAGCAGAGCGAAGCACAGTAATCTCTCTGGATGCGCTGGATGACTTTAACCAAGGACAGACACTAATCTGTGGATTAGTCAGCACAGGTACTGAATCATCCCACTGCCTCATTCAGTAGTTATGCAAGCCAGCTCAGTGACACTGAATAAGTGTTTCAAAGTCGGACAGAACAGTAGACCCAGTGCACAATCACACAAATAACATTTTAAAGGGGAATTCCACCCATATTCCAGAAATTCTGCATAACTAAATGAGTAAGATGTAAACAAAGACATTCAGAGCGGTTCGATGTGAAAGGCTCCGTTCTGGAGAAACTTAGAGTCAGAACTGTTCACAGCGGTGGTGATAGGAACCAGACGTCCACCTCTAAAAGCTCCCTGCCTGATGTCGGAGATGCTCCTTGATGACAATGTCGACCTGTGTTTTTTAATGCATGCTGGTGAGAGAAATGGAAGGTGTTTTAAGGCAAAATTGTACCCAAAGATTTTCGTGTTGCACTATTTCACCATTACCTACATTTAATATAAAATCTCTGGAGACATAAGTAGCATTTTAAACACATCATTTCACACCAACCCACTCTGAATGACTTTGTTTACATGTAAACAACTTAAAAAACTTAAACTCTTCAGACATTCGGTTCCTGTCACCACCACTGTGAACAATTCTGACTCAGTACGGCTCTCTAGAGTGGAACACGCCATATCAGCACACTGAGCGACTCCGTTTATGTCTTAACGCTTGAATTATGTAGAAATTAGAAACAAATTGTTGGCGTCCCCTGCTTAAATGGGCTTGGACAGCTACTTGCTGCATAAGCAGCCACAAGCTGAATCAAAGAGGTTGAGCACAAGAACCATGTAAGGGCAAGTCCACCAATTTTTTAAAATGTCTGAATAATTCAATGTTTGAGATGTAATCAGACTGATTCAGAGTGGTCTGGTGTGAAATGGTTCAGATGTCTTTACAGTGGTGGTGATGGGAACCAGGGGTCGCCATGACTACAACACACATATAGACATTTTATTTACTATCCAGAACCACCAGTGAACCTACACGAATTTTTAATATAATGAGCTTTCAGAGGTGAGCGTCTGGCTCCCTGTAGAAAAAAAAGACCATTATAACCATTAGGACTAAAACCTATTGCTTCTGCCTTGTTTCCTAATTTTAAACTAGCTTACTGGTTACCACTAGAGACCACTAGCTTCATGTAGGACGCCTTGAAATCCCATTAGGATCTAGAACCATCATCTGGATTCAGTCCAGAACCCCTGTCACACCACCAGAATCATATACTCTGTGATATCAACCCGTCATGACAACACAAAGCACCATGACTGACTAGTGGACACCACCAGGCACCAATAGAAACTTTTAACGAATTCTATGATTATTCAAGAAGGTCTGTCACCACCACTGCGAACAATTCTGACTCGTAAGTTTCTCCAGAACCGAGCATTTCAACACCAAACCGCTCTGGACGACTGTTTACATCTCGAGGACTGAATGAGTCAGAAAATTTTGGGAAAACTGGTGGAACTCCCCTTTAACACAGCAGCCTCCACCTCATCGGTTCAGCACCGACACCAGTCCGATTACAGTGAACTGATACCAGTTCTTTAACGACAAGATGGACAACTGACCACTCAATATTAGCTGTAAGACTTTAAACAGACCCCTTTTCTTCCTAAAATCACCCTCAGGGTGTAAACTTGTTTACGCTCGCCTAACAAGTGTATGAGCCAGCTAGCGGGCTGGCTACAAGCCTAGCCAGCTGGCTAACTGTTTTTGCGAACTCAGGGCCACGATAAAACACAACACGCAGTCCCACACGGTTATCTAGGCCTTTGGGCAGATCATCAGATATCAGTAAGGCCAAAGTGCTGCCTAGAAAACGGTACCTGACTGCAATATAGTCGCCAGCTAAGCCGGCTAACTTTCCTCACCTGAGTGTAGCGGTCAGCGCGTCAAGTTAGCTCTCAGCTAGCCAGCCAGCAGCGGGATCGCCCCGGAGAACGAACCGAGAACTCCAATAATCCCCCCGCACAAGTTGCCCTCTAACGTCTGGAAAAACGGAGGTGCCCCGTACTCGTAACCGCCTCCCGTCTCAGAGCTGACATTCATACAGAAAAGGGACGGAGATCAGATAAAGCGGCTGTGGTCGAAAGTTGAGAGGAGCTAGCTGGACGCTGCGGTCTGACCGCTCCGCTGCTGCTGCTGAGGCGATATTGATGCAGTCAGTCAGTCAGTGTCAGTGCGGGCGTTGAACACGGTCACCCTGCGAGCCAAGGTGCCCCCTGTCGGTTAGTCCTGTCTGCACACAAACAGCTACCTGCATTGTAGTCCATCTGTTTCTCTGATACTTTGTTAGCCCCCTTTTACCCTGTTCTTCAGTGGTCAGGACCCCCATGGACCCTCACAGAGCAGGTACTATTTGGGTGGTGGATCATTCTCAGCACTGCAGTAACACTGACGTGGTGGTGGTGTGTTAGTGTGTGTTGCGCTGGTCTGAGTGGATCAGACACAGCAGTGCTGCTGGAGTTTTTAAACACTGTGTCCACTCACTGTCCACTCTATTAGACACTCCTACCTTGTCGGTCCACCTTGTAGATGTCAGAGACAATAGCTCATCTGCTGCTGCACAGTTTGTGTTGGTCATCCTCTAGTCCTTCATCAGTGGTCACAGGACGCTGCCCACAGGACACTGTTGGCTGGATATTTTTAGTTGGTGGACGATTCTCAGTCCAGCAGTGACACTGAGGTGTTTAAAAACTCCAGCAGCACTGCTGTGTCTGATCCACTCAGACCAGCGCAACACACACTAACACACCACCACCACGTCAGTGTTACTGCAGTGCTGAGAATGATCCACCACCCAAATAGTACCTGCTCTGTGAGGGTCCATGGGGGTCCTGACCACTGAAGAACAGGGTAAAAGGGGGCTAACAAAGTATCAGAGAAACAGATGGACTACAGTCTGTAACTGTAGAACTACAAAGTGCACCTATATAGTAAGTGGAGCTGATCAAATGGACAATGAGCGTAGAAACAAGGAGGTGGTCAGAATGTTATGCCTGATCGGTGTATATTGCCATGTAGTAAGCTAGAATAATGAGAACGTTTTCCATAAGTTTAACTTAGTATCTCATAATAATGAGAAAAGTTTACAAGTCATGATTATGATCTTCAATCTCATTATATTGAAATGCTAAGTCATAATTATGAGACATAGTCATTATTATGAGTCATGAAGCCATAATTATGATACTAAGTCAGTTATGAGATGCTAAGTCGTAATTATGAAAAACGTTATAATTATGGCAGTCATTATTATGAGATACTAAGTCATAATTATGATATACTAAGGCATAAGTATGAGAAAGTCAGTTATGAGACACTAAATCACAATTTTGAGAAAATTATTCAATTATGCGTGGCTGAGTCATAATAATTGCTTAGTTCCTGATAATAATGAGACGAGCCATAGCTATGAGACTGAGTTTCGTTATTAGGAGATACTAAGTCATGCTTATGAGATATTAAGTCATAATTATAAGATTGGGTCTCACTATTATGAGACACTAAGTCATAAGTATGAGAAAGTAAATCAATTATGACATTATAAGTCATAATTATGAGAAAATACTGTAAATCAATGATGCGTTGCTAAGTCATAATGACTTAGTGTCTCATAATAATGATATTTTCTCATAATTATGAGATAAGTCATACATATGAGATTGAATCTCATTATTATGAGATGCTAAGTCATAATTATGAGTTAATAAGTCATACTCATGACAGTCATTATAACAATACACTAAGTCAGAGTTATGAGATATTAATTGAGTCTCATAATTAGGAGATACTAAGTCACGCTTATGAGATATTAAGTCATAATTATAAGATTGAATCTCTTTATTACAAGATACTAAGTAAAAATTATGAGAAAGTAAGTCAATTATGCATTGCTAAGTTTCTGTTGGTTCCTGATGGTTTTGTTATGTGTTTTGTTTTTTTTGAATGGGTTGATATCACCGTGTAAAGGATCCTAATGGTTTACCAGGTGACCAGTGGCTGATTCTAAACGCGTTTGATGGTTTCCTAATGGGATCTAAAGGTGTAAAGCTGTAGCTTTGGCCTCAGGCTTGGTCTGACTGATCTGCTGGGTTCTGGTTAAACTGTGGGTTCTGCTGCTCTCTGAGCGAGTCAGGATGTACTCCATCGTGGAGATAAAAGGCCTCAAGGATGGATACATTAATTATGATATACTAAGGCATAATTTTGAGAAAGTCAGTTATAAGATACTAAGTCACAATTGTGAGAAAATGATTAAATTATGCATTACCAAGTCATAATAATTGCTTAGTTCCTCCTAATAATGAGAATATTTTCTCATAATAATGAGACGAGCCATAGCTATGAGACTGAGTCTCATTATTAGGAGATACTAAGTCATGCTTATGAGATATTAAGTCATAATTATAAGATTGGGTCTCACTATTACGAGACACTAAGTCATAATTATGAGAAAGTAAGTCAATTATGAGATTGTAAGTCATTAATATGAAAAAATACTGTAAATCAGTGACACGTTGCTAAGTCATAATAATGACCTAATGTCTCATAATAATGATAATATGTTCTCATAACTATGAGATAAGTCATATGTATGAGATTGAATCTCATTATTATGAGATGCTAAGTCATAATGATACTAATTATATACTAAGGCACAATTATGCATTGCTAAGTCATAATAATTAATTAGTTCTTCCTAATAATGATATATAATAATATATAATAAATATATAATAAATAAATATATAATAAATATTTTCTCATAATAACGAAATGAGTCAGTGAGTCATAACTATAAGATTGAGTCTCATTATTAGGGGACACTAAGTCATACAGAGATATTGAGTCATAATTATAAAATTTAATCTCTTTATTGTGACATATTAAGTAATAATTTTGAGAAAGTAAGTCAATTATGCATTGCTAAATCATGACAATGACTTAGTGCCTCATAATAATGATGTTATGTAATATTATGAGATAAGTAATAATTATGAGGTTGTATCTCATTGTTATGAGATGCTAAGTCATAATTCTGAGATAATAAGTGACAGCTATTATTATGACACACTGTCATAATTATGAGATATTAAGTCATGATTATAAGATCAAATCTCATTATTTTGAGATACTAAGTTATAATTATGAGAAAGTAAGTCATTAATATGTGATTGAATCTCATTATTATGATTTACTAATTGGCTATATATTTTTTTAAGTGCTTCTACAGAATCCATTCCATTAATTTATGCTACATTGCTTTTTTTCTGCTCTATAATGTGAAATATTTTATAACTATCCAGAAATGTTTGCTGACAAATAGTTCAGAGCCAAAAAAGGGTTACAAACGTGACCACGTAACAGTAGAAGAACCCTTTTTGGTTCTATATGGAACCATATACAACACATCCCCCATCAATCTGAAGAACCACTTCACCATGCAAAGAACCATCTAATCATGCAGATGGTTCTATGTTGTTCTAATGGTTCTAAACAGAGTAATTCCCTTTGCTAAAGAACCCTTGCAGACCATGCTGTAAAACAAACATAGAAACCATTAAGTTTCTGTTGGTTCCTGATGGTTTTGTAATATGTTTTGGGCCTTTTAATGGGTTGATATCACAGTGTAAAGGATCCTAATGGTTTACCAGGTGACCAGGGCTGATTCTAAACGTTTGATGGTTTCCTAATGGGATCTAAAGGTGTTCTATAGGAAAACTAGTGGTCTCTTATGGTAACCATTAAGCCAGTTCCTAAGGGTTTTCATCCTAATGGTTTCTAATGGTCCTTTTTCACCAGGGAACCGTCTTTTAAGAAGAGTGTGGACTGTATGGAGGGTCCGCTGAACGGGGTTTCCCATGATTCCGTGCTTTGTTTACAAACGTGAAGTCCGTGCTAGCGCTGTGCTAGCCTTGTTCCATTACATGATTAATAATTTATTAATAAATGAATGCATTTTATTTTCATAAATAACAGCGAACATAAGTTAAAATCCACCTCTTTTTAGTCGCCCTGCGCTCAAACTGTGGGGAGTTTGTTTGGCGCTGTTATAGACTCTGAAATGGAGAGCTAACGTTAGCTGTAGCTTTAGCCTCAGGCTTGGTCTGACTGATCTGCTGGGTTCTGGTTAAACTGTGGGTTCTGCTGCTCTCTGAGCGCGTGAGGATGTACTCCATCGTGGAGATAAAAGGCCTCAAGGATGGATATCGCTGTGGCTACTGTGGAAACGGGTGGGGAAAAGTTTCCTACGGTAAGTGAATGAAGGGATGGAGGAGATGGAGGCTCCACTGCAGCAGCACCATGCTGGGAAATAGGTCATTAGAACTAAAAGACTAAGACTAATGAGACTAAAACCTGATAATTTTGTGTTCTACTTAGAATTGGCCTAATGTTTACCATCAGAGACCACTAGTTTCCCATTAGGAAATCACCTGTTACACCATTAGAGTCCTTACACTGTGATATCAACCCATCTGGAAACACTAAATACTGTTACTGACCATTGGACATCATGAGGAACCAGCAGAAATTTTAATGGTTTCAATTATTTGTTTCAGCAGGGCAGTTCTGGTGCCCTGTCATCGTTCATGATGCGCAATGTGAGGCTACATCCAGAGTGATGGGCACAGATACGAGGCTGTTACACTGTTAGAGCTTTTCAGATTCAGAGCTGTACAGACAGACAGGTCAGGGACAGCTGGCAGAATATCAGAAACATACGGAGCCCTGCTGGTGACGTCCCGTATAAATAAAAATAATGCTTGAGAACGAGATAATTAAGTCGTGGGAATGAGATACTAATGCATGGCCATGGCTTAGTAAGGCGTGGGAATGAGATAATCCTTGACAACAGCTTAATAAGGCATGATCTCGTTCCCACGCCTTACTAAGTCATGGCCATGACTTAATTATCTCGTTCCCACGCGTTAATACGGTGTGGCCACGCATTATTTGTTATTTATACAGGATGTCACCAGCAGGGCAAGGTAAGGTATCCCACCTTAACTTTTTTAGAGTGACCAAGTCGAAACTTAAAGGGCTCATATCTTATATCTTCTTGTACTTTATTTTTTCCTGTGAAGTCCACTTAGATGTGGGGCGATATGGAAAAAATTTAACATCATGATCCTTCAAGAAGTTTTCATGATACACAGTATGTCCTGATATGTATATTTTTGATACTGATAAATTGGAAAAGACCAAATAGTGCCACATTTTTAAAATTCCATTAAAAAAACCTATGATTGCAATGATTTACACTCACTATTTCACATACTGTACTACACTAAATGCAATGAAACAGGACTTATGATGCTCTCTTTATAATCAAAGATGCAGTGGGGAAGTGTTTTGGTACTGACAATGTTCACAATGTGCTCACAAAAGTACACTGTGGCATACTGTGATGTAAGTTTATCATTAGAATGATATTGTCATGTTGCCCAGCACTACGTCCACTTATTACATTTGTTACTGCTTTATGCACCAAAAGCATAACTCATTTGTACCTGACTACTTTCCTACTGTACTTTACCTTCAGTTTTTTAGTGTGACTAAAAAAGGTAAGGTAAAGTAAACAAAACATAAAGGGCCCATATCCTATATTGTACTTCATTTTTCCCCCTGAGATCCACTTATTGCATTTGTGGTGTTTTACGTACCAAAAACATTCTTAATTCATTTTTACACAACAACTTTCCAACCTCTCTTAATCACTTAGAATTAAACAAGCTGTCTAATACTGTTTTGATACTATACCTTTTTACAACTGATATACACTGATCAGGCATAACATTATGACCACCTCCTTGTTTCTACACTCACTGTCCATTTTATCAGCTCCACTTACTGTATAGGTGCACTTTGTAGTTCTACAGTTACGGACTGTAGTCCATCTGTTTCTCTGATACTTTGTTAGCCCCCTTTTACCCTGTTCTTCAGTGGTCAGGACCCTCATGGACCCCCACAGAGCAGGTACTATTTGGGTGGTGGATCATTCTCAGCACTGCAGTAACACTGACGTGGTGGTGGTGTGTTAGTGTGTGTTGCGCTGGTCTGAGTGGATCAGCCACAGCAGTGCTGCTGGAGTTTTTAAACACCGCAGTGTAACTGCTGGACTCAGAATAGTCCACCAACCAAAAATCTCAAGCCAACAGCATCCTGTGGGCAGCGTCCTGTGACCACTGATGAAGGACTAGAGGATGACCAACACAAACTGTGCAGCAGCAGATGAGCTATTGTCTCTGACTTTACATCTACAAGGTGGACTGACAAGATAGGAGTGTAATAGAGTGGACAGTGAGTGGACTGTGTTTAAAAACTCCAGCAGCACTGCTGTGTCTGATCCACTCAGACCAGCGCAACACACACTAACGCACCACCACCACGTCAGTGTTACTACTTCTCATCGGCTTGATTCAAATAGCAGTCAGGCCTAAAACCCTCCTAATTTCTTTGGTTAACTTCATGATCTTAACAAAGCTGAAATGGTTACGGTGTTGTGGGTTCTTTTGGAATGTGCTAATATTCAAAGCCATTGCCAAAGATGTATAAATGTGCAGAAGTAATGTGATCTAATGGGTCATGTTTCACCCTCTGTCCTACATCCTGGTGCATTTATGTGTAGAGATGGCCAAATAATGCCTTCACCCACAAAAATGTCTTTTGCCTGCTGATAAACCAAAGGTGGCCGTCTCATGAGAATCATCAGGTCAGGTGATAGCATGGCTGTATAACAGCTAAGGAACATGATGCCGTTTTACAGGACCTGTGTCCTTCTGTGTCGCAAAACATTGTTCCCTTATTTTATTTCCGTATACAAAGGCAATATTGGCCTCATAGATAAATACAAGGTGTCACATCCTCATGTCCTTCCCATAACCAGATCTAAGCAGTATTGCTGCTGAGGGAGAAGTTCTTGAATGCATGATGTCCAGTGAAGGCCTTTATTCTTAAAGAGCTTGTATATAGCAAATATACAAAACAGACCTAAATCATTTTCACGTGACCAAATTTCCAACCTGTTTTTGTTGCTGTACCTTTAAAACTGATGTATGTAAATGAGCTCTGTTCTGATTAGCTGCCCTGTAATGTGCCTCATTTAGAAAGCAGTCTGGCCTGAAACACTCTTTCAGTGTTTAATTAAATCTGGATGCATGTGTAAGGATGTGAAAGATAAGATACCTGGGCAAGTTTATCTGTATAGCACACCTTTCATACACAGCGGCAATTCAAAGTGCTTCACACAAACATGGGAAAATAAAAGCAATAAATTATAAAGCTTAAGACGTCCTGAGATCTCGCACATCAGAAAGGCACTTGCAAACATAGATACATAAAAATTAAAAACAAACTGCAGTCAGAGATAAAAGGCAATAAACTAGAAAATAAAATAAGGGATTCAAAGAAATAAAAATGCTGTAGTTCTAAGATAAAGCTAAACAAAGTGCAACAAAACAAGAACGGCTTTAAACTGGACTTAAAGATGGCCACATTCGGAGTGTATCTGACCTCATCTGGGAGTTTGTTCCACCAGTCGGCAGCATAGCGACTGAATGCTGCCTCACCCTGTTTGGTTCTGATTCTGCGCACTACTAACTGACCGGTCCGAGTGACCAGAGAGGCCTGTTGGGTTTGTGTGCTTGAGGCAGATCAGCAGTGCGTTTTGGTCCACGGCCATTCAGAGACTTATATACAATTAGTTGCACTTTAAAGTCAATTCTGTTGTTGATTTGTAGGCAGTGCAGTGAGGATTGGAGTAATGAGTAATGAGTAATATGCTCATATATGCAGCTGCAGCTGTCTGATTGTGGTCCAGCCTGCTGGAGATAAATGCCTGTATTAGTTTTTCTAGGTCTTGTTGTGACATGAAATTCTTAAAACCTTGTCTAAAGTCTTATCTGTCATCAATTAAGCAGTAACATCTGGATTTGGTACCAGTAGTAAAGCTGAGGGAAACACTGGGCTCAGTAACAGTCACAAATGCATATGTTTAGCAAGAGATTAGGAGTCAATAAATTAAAATTAAAATTAAATTTAAATTAACAGCTCATTGAAAATAACATTGGGTGTCATGTAATGCTTGGCACAAAACTAATTCTGGGTCATTCTACAGAATCGTCCACTTTGCTATCTCTCCATAGGAGTCACTGTCACTGATCCTCATTGGTGTTACACATAATAAAGGAACAACAGAGACATTTTTAATGAACAATGCATTTTACTAAACGGCTGCTACAGAGCATCAAACCACATGTTGTCAATCATGGAAAATCCACTAAAATATGTAATTTAATGCATTTGTATTCTATTTTTTCACAAATACCTCAGAATAAAGTCGGTCACACCAGTGACTTCAGCTAAAAGCTTCATATGAAATCATGAGCTAAATGAGAAAATCTCTGATAACTGAAAGACACAGTGGACTCACCATGAGCTTTTCTTCATAGATCCTCAGAAAACAGGTAAAAGGAAGTCAAGTGATGTCATCAGTGTGACTTTTATTTCAAAATAAGAGATTTTTGTTACGCAGTAACAGCAGTGACACGACTCCTGGGGACAACAACTTTCATTATATATTTTATAATATTTATTTGTTTTCTTTGTCATTTAATTTATATGTTTCATAGTCATGTATAGATTATTGTAGTTAAAATTGCAGAAAAACATTTTTTATCTCAAAATATGTCCTCAGCCTTCACACATGACTGTGAGGACGAGCTCTTCTGTGGTGCTTGGAATTCTGTATGATTGATTTAAAAACCATTATTGCTAAATTGAGGCTCAAGAAGGTGCAATTGTTAAAATAACTTTTTTGTTTTATTTTAAAATATAAATAATTGTAACTCTAACATGTTTTTTTAAGTGTAATATATCTGTAAATGCTAGGGACACAAAAATGGATGTATCTGTAGAATGACCCATATCTTAGCAAGTGAAAACATCTTAAATGTAGTCAATAAATCTGATATTTCTCAAAATAAAATTGTTGTAATGAATATTATGAGATTTTTAAACTTATTTGTAGACATTTTTATGTGTTTTGAGTCATTTTATGTAGGGAAATTGTCTTATTTCATTGGCAGATCATTTGACTTGTTTGGAGAAATAGTTAATTTTCAAAAAAATTAGATGAGTCTCTAAGGGTTTATTAGTTAAAAAAATGGCTCTATATAGAATCATGAACACTCAAAGAACCGTTTTCATGATTAAATGTTCTTTGCATTGTGAAATGGTTCTTCAGATTGATGG